AGCCAATAGCAGCCCAGCCCATTGTTCGATGAAGACGTCAATCGATAAAAACTGAGAGTAAATACAGACATACCCTCGAAAAGCGCTTTTGGTCTCTATGACCTACAAAAACCCGGTTTACCGAGCATTCGTTTTTATGACGTTATGATGCTAGCCCAGTATACCGGCATACGATGCGATAGGGTTAAGAGCCTAACCCGCGAATATGCGGGACCGTGAATGGGGAACCTCGAACAGGTGACGGTATACTGTAGTTAGTAAGACCAAGGTACAACAATATGAAGTAGTTAGTAAGACCAAGGTGCAACATTATGAAGTAGTTCATAACACCAAGGTACAACATTATGAAGTAGTTAGTAACCCCGGGGTATACAACATTATGAAGTAGTTAATAAGACCAAGGTACAACATTGTGAAGTAGTTAGTAAGACCAAGATACTACCTTATGAAGTAGTTTGTAAGACCAAGATACAACATTATGAAGGAGTTAGTAAGACCAAGGTACTGTGTTATGAAGTAGTTAGTAAGACCTAGGTACAACATTATGAAGTAGTTAGTAAAAGAGGATACTACATTGTGAAGTAGTTAGTAAGACCAAGGTACAACATTATGAAGTAGTTAGTAAGACCGAGATACTACATTATCAAGTAGTTAGTAAGACCAAGGTACAACATTATGAAGTAGTTAGTAAAACCAGGATACTACATTATGAAGTAGTTAGTAAAACCAAGATACTACATTGTGAAGGTGTTAGTAAGACCAAGGTACAACACTATGAAGTAGTTAGTAAGACCAAGGTACAACATTATGAAGTAGTTAGTAAAACCAAGATACTACATTGTGAAGTAGTTAGTAAGACTAAGGTACAACATTATGAAGTAGTTAGTAAGACCAAGGTGCAACATTATGAAGTAGTTCATAACACCAAGGTACAACATTATGAAGTAGTTAGTAAGACCACAGTACTACATTATAAAGTAGTTTGTAAGACCAAGATACTACATTATGAAGTAGTTAGTAAGACCAATATACTACATTATGTAGTAGTTTGTAAGACCAAGATACTATATTATGAAGGAGTTAGTCAGTTAGGAGTTAGTAAAACCAAGATACTACATTGTGAAGGTGTTAAACAGTTTATGTTGCTACAGCATAAAAGTGTTAGTTTATCCAGAGTGTTAAATAATCCGTTTATATCCATAGTTCACAAGATTACCTGCAACATTTTATCCAAGTCCTGGGAATCTAAATACGACGTGGTTAGCTCACGACCATCAAAGTCCACTTCTGCTTTATATCTGACAACAGAGTTTCCCATATCTGTTGCCTTAACATCATGGATGGCACTAAAGACAAAATAAAGAAATATACATTACACAGAAATCAACAGAAAGTAAAATGTATGCAAAAAAATTTTTTGGAATGAAGATGCTTGAAGATCAACCATTTAATATTACACAAAGTGATGCAAAGATGAAAAATATTTCATAAATAATTTACATTACGGAAGTTAATTTAACTTTATACAACTGATGCTCCAGGACCGAAACTAGCCTCCGAATTACTTCCTCTATCATCAGTAATACTCAATGAGTTGCCGATGATTAAGCAGTGCTGACTGAAACTGCAATTTCAGTTGTAACAAGCATTCATTATCATCTTCAAATCATTATTCATTATGTTATTGACAGTACCAAGAGATACGACCATCCTTGTTTGTTATGTTGTTGACAGTACCTAGAGATATGTCCATCCTTGTATATTATGTTATTGACAGTACCTAGAGATATGCCCTTCCTTGTTTATCTTATTGACCATACCTAGAGATATGCCCATCCTTGTTTACTATGCTATTGACAATACCAAGAGATACATCCATCCTTGTTTATGTTATTAACAGTACCAAGAGATATGCCCATTCTTGTTTATTATGTTATTATCAGTACCTAAAGATACATCCATCGTTATTTATTGTTATTGAAAGTACCTAGAGATACATCTATTCTTGTTTAATATGTTCTAAACAGTACCAAGAGATATGCCAAGCATCATCTCAATCAGAAGATTTTCATTTGTGACCATGACCTTCAATGTATAGATGAGAGAATTGCTTCAGAATAGAATGGGATGTAGTTCTAGAGACCAATCATGTACTAACGTTCTGTAGTACATGAATTTTAACTCCCATAACAATCATTGAAGGCTCTAGTCTTTGAAATATCCTTCCTCAATAAGTGCTGTGTTATTTCTCCAGCCATCAGTAAGTATTGATGCTGGCAAAAGGACAAGATTTTTACATAGGTAAAAAATGTAACTTATGTTTCAATTGGAAAAAAACTACATAACGTGTTATCAACCATCTGTAGGTTCCCTTAAAGTTACAAAATAGACATCTGTACTTACCGAATCATAACATCATTTTCTAGTTCTTTGTTAATCATCTGTAGTCGCTCAGGAGGAATAGACCTGTTATACAAAAATATATTTTATATTTCACAATTTTTATACTTCAATCTTTAAATTGTGAGGGACATTACCATGTTAATTCAAAGGACAAATTTTAATTTCTTGTAAAATGTATTTCAAAATACTGAATATTAAAACTTCATGTATATGATGAATAAATCTGTTAACATGACATTGACTTCTATGTAATCTCATTTACTGAGTATCTATTTTTAATATTTCTAAAATAACCCATTAATATGCATTTCAATTATATTCACTTACTAAATCATACAGTATGTTGTAAATAATTAATAATTTTAACTACACTCAATCTAATACGAGTAAAAAAAAGAAACAATATGAATGAAAAGAAAACATAAAGCTGCCTAAAAATAAGTAGTTCAAAATTTTTATTTATTTCTTAACTAAATTGAATAAGTTGATCATGGAATATGACATAAACCTTTAGTAGTTCTACTGTATGATTTGAAGAATGAGAAACTTATCCAGTTGATTTAGAAGTCTTACATTACAATGTATACCATCAATACCAGGGGTCCTGTTATCCAGCTCACTTAGCAGTTTTACATTACAGTGTATACCAACTATACCAAGGGTCCTGTTATCCAGCTGATTTAGCAGTCTTACATTACAGTGTATATCATCAATACCAGGGGTCCTGTTATCCAGCTGACTTAGCAGTCTTACATTACAATGTATACCAACAATACCAGGGATCCTGTTATCCAGCTGATTTAGCAGTCTTACATTACAGTGTATACCATCAATACTAGGGGTCCTGTTATCCAGCTGACTTAGCAGTCTTACATTACAATGTATACTAACTATACCAGGGGTCCTGTTATCCAGCTGACTTCACAGTTTTACATTACAGTGTATATCATCAATACCAGGGGTCCTGTTATCCATCTGACTTAGCAGTCTTACATTACAATGTATACCAACTATACCAGGGATCCTGTTATCCAGCTGATTTACCAGTCTTACATTACAGTGTATATCATCAATACCAGGGGTCCTGTTATCCAGCTGACTTAGCAGTCTTACATTACAATGTATACCAACTATACCAGGGGTCCTGTTATCCAGCTAACTTAGCAGTCTTACATTACAGTGTATACCATCAATACCAGAGGCCCTGTTATCTTCACGACTTAGCAGTCTTACATTACAGTGTATATCATCAATACCAGGGGTCCTGTTATCCAGCTGACTTGGCAGTCTTACATTACAATGTATACCATCAATTCCAGGGGTCCTGTTATCCATCTGATATGGCAGTCTTACATTAGAATGTATACTATCAATACTAGGGGTCATGTTATCCAGCTGACATAGCAGGCTTACATTACAAAATATACCATCAATACTAGGGTTCCAGTTATCCAGCTGACATAGCAGTCTTACATTACAGTGTATACCAACTATACCAGGGGTCCTGTTATCCAGCTGACTTAGCAGTCTTACATTACAGTGTATACCAACTATACCAGGGGTCCTGTTATCCAGCTGATTTAGCAGTCTTACATTAGAATGTATACCATCAATACTACGGGTCCTGTTATCCAGCTCACATGGCAGTCTTACATTACAGTGTATACCAACTATACCAGGGGTCCTGTTATCTAGCTGATGTAGCAGTCTTACATTACAGTGTATGCCATCAATTCCAGTGGTCCTGTTATCCAGCTGACTTAGCAGTCTCACATTACAGTGTATACCATCAATAGCAGTGGTCCTGTTATCTAGCTGACATAGCAGTCTTACATTAGAATGCATACCGTCAATACTAGTGGTCCTGTTATCCAACTGACTTAGCAGTCTTACATTACAGTGTATACCAACTATAACAGTGGTCCTGTTATCCAGCTGACATAGCAGTCTTACATTAAAATGTATACCATCAATACTAGGGGTCCTGTTATCCAGCTGACTTAGCAGTCTTACAGTACAGTGTATACCATCAATACCAGTGGTCCTGTTATCCAGCTGACAGAGCAGTCTTACATTAAAATGTATACCATCAATACTAGGGGTCCTGTTATCCAGTTGACTTAGCAATCTTACAGTACAGTGTATACAAACTACACCAAGAACCACATTACCCTGCTGACTTAACAGTATTACATTACAGTTTATATGACCAATACCAGGGACCCTGCTGTCTTACAACAGAATGTGTATAGCAAAAATACCAGGGATCCTGCTGTCTTACAGCAGAATGTATATACCAGAGAACCTACTCTCTTTGGAATCATAAGAGCATACTGTGCATAAAAATAAAGTTTAATCAGCTTGTTTTTATAATTAATTGTAATAACTATTCTATTTCCCCATATATGAATAAATGACTTGTAACCTCCAATATTATACTATTTACCTGACAACCAGCACTACATTGTTACCTAGTCAATTACTGTATCATTAACCTAGTAACCAGCACAACATTGTTACATAGACAATTTCTGTATCCTTAACCTAGTACCCAGCACTACATTGTTACCTAGACAATTACTGTATCCTTAACCTAGTAACCAGCACTACATTGTTACCTAGACAATTACTGTATCTTTAACATAGTATCCAGCACTACATTGTTACCTAGATAATTACTGTATCATTAACCTAGTAACCAGCACTATATTGTTACCTAGACAATTACTGTATCCTTAACCTAGTAACCAGCACTACATTGTTACCTAGTCAATTACTGTATCCTTAACCTAGTACCCAGCACTACCTAGACAATTACTGTATCCTTAACCTAGTAACCAGCACCTCATTGTTACCTAGTCAATTACTGTATCCTTAACCTAGTAACCAGCACCTCATTGTTACCTAGTCAATTACTGTATCCTTAACCTAGTACCCAGCACTACATTGTTACCTAGACAACTACTGTATCATTAACCTAGTAACCAGCACTACATTGTTACCTAGACAATTACTGTATCCTTAACCTAGTAACCAGCACTACATTGTTACCTAGACAATTACTGTATCCTTAACCTAGTACCCAGCACTACATTGTTACCTAGTCAATTACTGTATCATTAACCTAGTAACCAGCACTACATTGTTACCTAGTCAATTACTGTATCCTTAACCTAGTAACCAGCACTACATTGTTACCTAGTCAATTACTGTATCCTTAACCTAGTATCCAGCACTACATTGTTACCTAGACAATTACTGTATCCTTAACCTAGTAAGCAGCACTACATTGTTACCTAGACAATTACTGTATCCTTAACCTAGTAAGCAGCACTACATTGTTACCTAGACAATTACTGTATCCTTAACCTAGTAACCAGCACTACAATGTTACCTAGTCAATTACTGTATCCTTAACCTAGTAACCAGCACTACATTGTTACCTAGACAATTACTGTATCCTTAACCTAGTAACCAGCACCTCATTGTTACCTAGACAATTACTGTATCCTTCACCTAGTAACCAGCACTACGTAGGTAACTACTGTATCCTTGAACTGGCAACCAGCAATAAATTGTTACCTAGGTGCAAACTGTATTTTTTCCTTTCCAAAATAGTGTTGTACTCTTACCTGAGTAACTGCTATATTCCTTACCTGCCAACCAGTGCTGCACTGTTAGTATAAATAATGAAAGAAGCCACTGTTCCCAGAAGTCCACCAAGCAATATGGAGCCAACAGCATCATAGACTGGACTACCCATATAGGAGCTTAACCCCATACAAGTGGCTGCTATTCCAACACCCAACACAGCTGCAAGGTCCTCAAGTAGCACTACGTTTACACTGGGGTCTTGGCTGCGTAGAACTAGACATGCAATATTATGGCTTTTAAAATTACGTTCTTAACTTTTATTATTAACAGAAAAACTATAATATCCAAACATAGCACAGGTTTTACATGGTTAGTCTATTCTCCTCACTTGGAGTTAAAGGTAATGTGTTTGTTTGTTTGTAATTAAGCAAAAAGCTACACAATGGGCTATCTGTGTTCCTTCCACTGGGTTAACTTTAAAGAATTTATTTATATTTCTCAAAACTGCTTTTAACATTCCTCTTGCTTTTACTAGATTTTTAGTTGGTCTATGAGCTTTATCAAATATTTTATTATCTGTTTATTTCTCTGCTAGATTTTTGATTAACATTAGAAACAAAGTTTCATTAAGGTACATTACATAAAATAATCAATGGTAATATAAATATGTTTAACCAATGAAGAGATCACAACTTTTGTTTTTCATGAAAGATCATGAATTTCAATAACATGTAATATTATTAAATATTGTGATGCTATGAAATACTGCTCTTTGTCACACATTTAGTTACCACAAGTTTTTGTTTCTCTTAGTAAGAAAGTAATGTTGCAAACAACGTGATGAATTAGAAATATAATCAATTGTGAAAAGTAGAATTCTGAGAAATATTTTAACGTGCTGACATCACTTTAGTAACACACCATACTCTTTCACAGACATCCCTTCTTGAAAAGCTCCCTTCTTTATGGCATTAAAGGCTATCATAAGAGTGCCTGAAAATTAAAAACAAAATCTGATTAAACAGTTATAATGTTATCATTATTAAAAGCTAAAAAAGTCAAAATCATACAAGATGGCATAAGCTACTTTTTGGTAATTCCCAGCATTTTAAAAGCTTTGCAGTTAAATAAAGAAGGCTTCTATTACCTGCTGGTATGATTAGAGTTAAACAAAATATTGTCTGCTGTTTGTATGGGTAATAATAGGAAGTTAATGTTAGATGATGGTGGACATACAAAAAACAAGGTAAAGAAAGGTTTTTATCTTATTAAAATGTCAAAACAGTACTGGTTACAATAAGTAAAGAAACACACGAGTATATAGTACATTTAGCGCATAAAAACCAACTGTACCTAAATTTACTATATACTCGTGTCTTCCTTATACTGGCAAACAAAGCTTAAATTTAAAAAATCAACTTAAACGCATACTTGGTCGTTACTACCCTCAAGTGGATTTAAGATTAGTTTTCAAATCCACATCACACATAAAAAACCAACTGTACCTAAATTTACTATATACTCGTGTCTTCCTTATACTGGCAAACAAAGCTTAAATTTAAAAAATCAACTTAAACGCATACTTGGTCGTTACTACCCTCAAGTGGATTTAAGATTAGTTTTCAAATCCACATCACGTATAAAAAAACAACTGTACCTAAATTTACTATATACTTTTGTCTTCTTTATACTGGCAAACAAACCTTAAATTTAAAAAATCAACTTAAACGTATACTTTGTCGTTACTACCCTCAAGTGGATTTAAGATTAGTTTTCAAATCCACATCACGCATAGAAAACCAACTGTACCTAAATTTACTATATACTCGTGTCTTCCTTATACTGGCAAACAAAGCTTAAATTTAAAAAATCAACTTAAACGCATACTTGGTCGTTACTACCCTCAAGTGGATTTAAGATTAGTTTTCAAATCCACATCACGCATAAAAAACCAACTGTACCTAAATTTACTAAATACTCGTGTCTTCCTTATACTGGCAAACATAGCTTAAATTCAAAAAATCAAGTAAAGAAAGGTTATTGTTTTTATTCTATTAGAACCATAAAACAGGAAAGGTCATTGTTTGTATCCTATTAGAACCACAAAACAGTACTGATTACAATAAGTAAAGAAAGGTCATTGTTTTTATCCTATTAGAACCACAAAACAGTCCTGGTTACTACAAGTAAAGAAAGGTTATTGTTTTTTTCCTGTTAGAACCACAAAACAGTCCTGGTTACTACAAGTAAAGAAAGGTTATTGTTCACTTGCTAGTAGAACAACAAAACCGTACTGGTTACTATACGTAAAGAAATGATCACTTACCACCTTCAGTCATCAGAGATATGCTTAATGCCATGTAAGCCTTATAGAAACCAGTAAATAATTTGTTGAAACATCTATTATCAATTTAGCCTTTAAGTTAACATTT